AGAGAGAATATGCACTCAATTTATCTGTTATAAATTGCTCACTAAAATTAAGTGGGAATTAAATCCTTCCAAAACACCAATTATTTCTATTTTGAAGACTTGATTCGAACAGCTCAGCAATCAGTCAGTTCATTTTGCTTTGTCGCCCCAGCACCATGGATGTCGGGACCACCTTCAGAGCAGGTGAGGCATCTGGAAACAGCTGACACAGTTCTCCCAAAAAGCAGACTTGTCTCAGGTCCACTCCTGTCCCTCTCACCCCACCCTCAACCGCTCTGGGCTCACCTCTCCCATCGCAGGCTTCCTAGGACTGGGCGCCTCCTTTGGCCTTTGGGCTTTCAAACAAGCTCTTCCCAGATGGGGCTGAAACATTCTCCCCCAACTCCACCCACCCCTTTTGCCTAGCTAAAGCCCATGCATGTTTCAAGTCTGGGCTTGGAAATTTTTCCTCAGATTGTGTTTTCCCACCATCATTTGACAAGGTTAGATGCCCTTCACATGTGCCCTCTGGCATGCAGAACCAACCCCCAGATATTTATCTACACCCCCACTAGGGTCTTGTCCATAGTATCCCCATCATTAGAGCCTAACATGTAATAGACAGTCAATAAATGTTGATTGAAAGGAGGGGGAGCCGAAACCGGTTTGGCTCAGTGGCAGAGTGTCGGTCTGCAGACTGAAAGGTCCCAGGTTCGATTCTGGTCAAGAGCATGTACGTTGGCTTCGGGCACATCCCCGGTGGGGGATGTGCAGGAGGCGGCTGGTCGATGTTTCTCTCTCATCGATGTTTCTGGCTCTCTATCTCTCTCCCTTCCTCTCTGAAAAAAATCAATAAAAATATTAAAAAAAAAAAAAAGAAAGAAAGAAAGGAAGGAAGGAAGGAAGAAAGAAAGAAAGAAAGGAGGGGAAGAGAGGGGAAAGGGAGGGAAGAAAGGTAGGAGGGGAGGAAAGAAAAAAATTCTTGCACTGCACAGCCTGGTACTGACAACTGGGAGACAGTCTGTGATGGCATCTGCCCAGATAATTGTAGGGTATGAAGTAACTTTGGTCTTTTCAGGTTCTGGTGAGTCTGTGTCTGGTGACCTGGCACTCTTGGGATTTACTTTGCCAACATTTGGATGTTGGTGATATCAATAAGAGAAATATTTCATAGGTAAACTGGACTGCATTAGTCGGGATGTGAAAGAGAAGGGTACAAGATGAGGAAGGTGGGAGAATCTGGATTCTGTTATAAGACGATGTCTTCAGTGCCATATTGAATTTGAGTTTTAAAAATCTAAAGATTCAGTTTAAAATATAAAACAAAAATATATAATCCTTCACAAATTTTTCACCTTTATATCAATTACTGTTACTAAAGAAGTCAAAACCAGCCAGCAGGTATTGCCACATAGCATGCTCTGAGGGCCATCAAAAAGCCTCCTCTCTCAGCTTCCTATCATCATGCCATGGTGCCTGGAATTCTGTAATGCTATTTTCATATATCACCAAATATATATTATATGCACACGTTATTGTTTGGAAGGAAAGATAAGAAATGGTAATTGGTCCTAGCTGGTTTGGCTCAGTGGATAGAGCAACAGCCTGTGGACTGAAGGGTCCTAGGTTCAATTCCAGCCACAGGCACATGATTGGTTTGCAGGCTCAATCCCCTACAGGGGACGTGCAGAGGGAGCCAATCAGTGATTCCCTCTCATCATGGGTGTTTCTATCTCTCTCTCCCTCTCCCTTCTAGAATCTTCTCTAAAATCAATAAAAAGGCATTAAAAAAAAAAAAAAGCTTAAAAAAAAAAGAAATGGTAACTGATTACCTCTGGAAAAGGGGGCATAAGAGAGTATGAAGGTCAGAGATGGGAGGAAGACCTATCTCTTACCATTTTCCCTTGTGTAGCCATTGAAGCTCTTATCATGTACATAAATTTTTAAATTAGAAAAGAAATTTTTCTTTTTAGATTTGGAATTTATCAATGGGGAATTGATTAAATAAATTATAGTATATCCATTAAATGAAATAATGCAAAAAATATATTTCTTTGATCCCAAAAACACTGATGCAAAAGAAGTCTGTGATGATTTTTTAAGTAAAAAACAACATTCAGAGTATAAATATTAAAAATTCACCCACTTAAAAAATTTAACCACTTAAAAATAACTGTATTTAAATGTTGGTTAATATTCATAAAGAAAAGCTGTCAAAATACACACTTACCTGTTAGCACTGCTACCTCTGCCGGAACTAGAAGAGACTTTTGTTTTCCAAGTTATACATTTGGACATTGTTTCAACTTTTACAAAGAGCATATTACTTTATAGTCAGATTTTAAAAAGGTATTTGGCCCTGGCCAATAGGGTCAAGGTATTGCTCAATGGTTGTTCAATGGTTAGAACATCGACCCACACACTGAAGGATCCCAGGTTTGATTCCCGGTCAAGGATTGCAGATACAATCCCCGGCCCAGTCAGGGTGAGTTCCAGAAGCAACCAATCGATGTGTCTCTCTCACTTCAATGTTTCTCTCTCTCTTTCTGTCTCTCTCTGTCTCTCTCTCTCCCCCTCTCTTCCTCCTTTCTTCCCTCCTTCTCTCCCTTCCACTTTCTCTAAAAGTCAATAGAAGAAATATTCTTGGGTGAGAATTAACAATAAATAAATAGATAGATAGATAGATAGATAGATAGATAGATAGATAGATAGATATTTGGGTGGTGAACACATAATACAATATACAAATTATGTATTATACAGTCATTAATTTTTGTGCAAGTGTACGACACTTCTGTTATAAAAGCAGTGTTTGGGAATTATTAAGATGGTCACAGAATTATTAAGATGGTCACAGAATACTAGTTAATTTCCCCCCCCCCCCCCCCGACTTTTCCTCCCTTAAGCGTGCTTTTGCCAGCTGAAGGGTCACCTCTGAGTCACTGCAGGATTCTTAGGAAAAAACGTGTTTAACCTTCTTACATCCACTTGGTTCTAAAGTCTGTATTTCTCATTTGGGGAACGCGGTTCAGTTCTGTGGGGTGCAGAGCCCGAGCTGTGAGGGGGGGGGAGAGGGCCTTTCCCGCTGTATCTAAGATGTACGGTTCCCCGTGTTTTGTTTTATACAGGTTTTGGATTTCTCTAACTTTTATTGTGTGTACTGAAACTGCATATGTATTATTCTGATAGTTTGCTCTAGTTTACTACCAATAAAAGACCTGTTAATCACAAAATGGCAAAAAAAAAAAAAGTGATGTATTATAGAGTTGCACCAATGATTTTATTAAACAATGTCACCCCCAATAAATTCAATTAAAAAAATTTAAATCATGCAAATATAAAAAAATATAAAGTACAGCATAGGGAATATGGTCAATAATATTGTAATAACTGTGTATGGTGTTAAATGGGACTAGATTAATCAGGGTGATCACTTCATAAGTTTTATAAATGTCTAATCACTGTTGTCTACCTGAAATTAATATATGTCAACTATAATTTAAAAATCATCTTAAAAATACAAAATAAATTTTTTAGAAAGATGTTTTAAAACATTTCTATGGCATTGCAAATAGCCCAAGGGTGGGTCACTATCTTATCATATGGGACAAACTTCAAAACTCTCAGTGAAAACCAGCTCCCCACTGGGAGCTTGTGCACTAAGTCAGGGTGAGGTTTTATAATACAGTCTTGGCTCACAACAATGCCTCAATAATGTATAATAACTGAATTTATAATTAGACTCAATAATCTAAATCAGTGTTTTTCAACCTTTTTTGGGCAAAGGCACACTTGTTTCATGAAAAAAATCACGAGGCACACCACCATTAGAAAATGTTAAAAAATTTAACTCTGTGCCTATATTGACTATATATAAAGTAATTCTCTTGAATAGGAATCAAATAAACACAAAGAAAGTATTTTATAATTACTTTATTATTAAATATTAAGTAAACAAGATAGTGAAAAATTATAAAATTCTTGTCTTGTCTGCACCTACGGCACACCAGGCAACATCTTGCGGCACACTAGTGTGCCGCGGAACAGCGGTTGAAAAACGCTGATCTAAATAATTGGACTATAAAGTTGATATAACTTGTCTTACTCTCCAGTGTAGAATTGGCTAAATACTTATCACCAGGAGCTTAAAAAGTGTCTGACCTTAAAGCTATTGCAGTAGAAAGTAACAATGTCACCTGCTTTCTCTTCATTAATACTCCCCAACTATCCAATTCTCTTTCCCTTTCCATTGCTCTCATCCTCCCAGTTCATTTTAAAAACTGCCTTTCAGAACCACAAGAGGGCAGCAGCCCCTTGTACATGAAAATCACTCAGGCATTAATCATAAGCAAAGGCAGGATGCCCTTATAAAAATGTTCAAAACTTTAGAGATTTGCCCTGACCAGGTGGCTCAGTTGATTAGAATGTCCTTATGTTCACCACAAGGTTGCAAGTTAGGGCACATATGGGAAGCAATTGATGTTTCTCACATCACTGTTTCTCTTCCTCTCTCTCTCTCTCTCTTTCTCTCTCTCTCTCTCTCTCTCTCTCTCTCTCTCTCTCTCTCTCTCTCTCCCTCCCTCCCGCTTGCTCTCTCCCTTCCTCTCTTTCAAAAAAATAAAAAATAAAAATATCTAGGGTGGCCCTAACTGGTTTGACTCAGTGGACAGAGCATCAACCTGCAGACTGAAGGGTCCCCGGTTTGATTCCAGTCAAGGGCATGTACCTTGGTTGTGGGAACATCCCCAGTGTTTCTTTCTCATCGATGTTTCTAACTCTCTATCCTTCTCCCTTCCTCTCTGTAAAAAATCAATAAAAACATATTTTTAAAAATATCTAGGGTGAGAATTCTAAAAAAAAACTTTAGAGATTTTATTTTAGCATCTTGCCCCAAATATGTATGGGACCACATTCAGTATTTTGTTAGAATTTATAAACAATGAGTGGGAAAGAAATTCATGCTGGCAAGTGAATATAATATGTCAACTATAATTTAAAAATCATCTTAAAAATACAAAATAATGTATTTCCCTCTCTTCCAGATGCTGTCCCAGAAGAGGTGTTAGGTAAACAAGAGGACAGTAGAGAACCTGACTCACTCCTAATGTAAGTTCTCGCACCAGGATGGAAGGAGAATCTTACCACAACGCAACTACTGCCAACGGCACCCCGGTGAACCACCGGCCTCTGGGACACCATGGCTTGTGGGAAGTCGTCACCATTGCCGCTGTGACTGCTGTGGTCAGCCTGATCACCACCGTGGGCAACGTCTTAGTCATGATCTCCTTCAAAGTCAACAGCCAGCTGAAGACGGTCAACAACTACTACCTGCTCAGCCTGGCCTGCGCAGACCTCATCATCGGGGTCTTCTCCATGAACCTCTACACCACCTACATCCTCATGGGGCGCTGGGCTCTCGGGAGTCTGGCCTGTGACCTTTGGCTTGCCCTGGACTACGTGGCCAGCAACGCCTCCGTCATGAACCTTCTGGTGATCAGTTTCGACCGTTACTTTTCTATCACAAGACCCCTGACGTATCGGGCCAAGCGTACCCCTAAGAGGGCCGGCATCATGATTGGCTTGGCCTGGCTGATCTCCTTCATCCTCTGGGCCCCAGCCATCCTCTGCTGGCAGTACTTGGTGGGGGAGCGAACGGTGCCCCCAGATGAGTGCCAGATCCAGTTCCTCTCCGAGCCCACCATCACCTTCGGCACCGCCATTGCTGCCTTCTACATCCCTGTTTCCGTCATGACCATCCTCTACTGTCGGATCTATCGGGAAACAGAGAAGCGGACCAAGGACCTTGCTGACCTCCAGGGCTCTGACTCTGTAGCTGAAACTGAGACGAGAAAGCCAGCTCACAAGGCTCTGCTCAGCTGCTTTGGCTGCCCGCGGCCCACGCTGGCCCAGAGGGAGCGGAGCCAGGCCTCCTGGTCATCCTCCCGCAGGAGCACCCCCAGGAAGCTGGCCCAGGCCTCCGGCCCAAACACTGAGTGGGACAAAGCCGAGCAGCTCACCACCTGCAGCAGCTGCCCCTCCTCGGAGGATGAGGACAAGCCCAGTGCCGACCCTGTTTTCCAGGTGGCCTACAAGAGCCAGGCCAAGGACGGCCCACAGGAAGACTTCGGGACTGAAGAGACCAAGGAAACTTTTGTGAAAGGTCAAGCTGACAAAAATGACTGTGACACCCCAAAATACTTCCTGTCTCCAGCGGCTGCTCATAGATCCAAGAGTCAGAAATGTGTGGCCTACAAGTTCCGCTTGGTGGTGAAAGCCGATGGGACCCAAGAGGCCAACAACGGCTGTCGCAAGGTGAAAATCATGCCCTGCTCCTCCCCGGTGTCCAAGGACCCTTCCACGAAAGGCCTGGACCCCAACCTCAGCCACCAGATAACCAAGCGGAAGAGAATGGTCCTCGTCAAAGAGAGGAAAGCGGCCCAGACCTTGAGTGCCATCCTGCTGGCCTTCATCATCACGTGGACCCCTTACAACATCATGGTCCTGGTTTCCACCTTCTGCGACAAGTGCGTCCCCGTCACCCTGTGGCACCTGGGCTACTGGCTGTGCTATGTCAACAGCACGGTCAACCCCATTTGCTATGCCCTCTGCAACAGAACCTTCCGGAAGACCTTTAAGATGCTGCTTCTCTGCCGGTGGAAAAAGAAAAAAGTGGAAGAAAAATTGTTCTGGCAGGGAAACAGCAAGCTCCCCTGAAAAGTTAACAACTCCCCTCAAGAGAATGACCATCATCCACTTCCTGATTCCGGTTGGCTGGTGTTCAAAAAAGACATCTGTCATTTTGAGTCCCTGAGAACTCTGTAAAGGCTTGGGATCTGCTGCCCATAGAAAGGAGGCACAGCTGCCACAGCTGCTGCCCCACTGAATTATTCCCGTCTGTGACTAAGGTCGCCTGATGTCGCAGGAGTTTGCCATTGAAGTGAACGGGCTCGTGGCCTCACAGGCGGGAGTCAATGCTGGGTCACGGTGGAGTGACTGAGGGGACTTTTGTCTAACCTTCTGTGGGGAACAGCAGGGACCAGTTAGAAATGTGTCCCCTGTGCAAACATGTCATAGACTTCTGTGCAGTCTGTATGTGTCTATGACGTTGTCTTGTGTCAGTGAGAACCAGGGGAATGTAAGTGTTACCTGTTAACAAGAGTGGTATTCAACTGGCTTCTAAGACTTTCTTTATAAAGCGATCAGTATTTATTCACAAAGTATTTATTATACAGCTATTATGTGTTCTGCGCTGTGGTATGTTTTCCTGTCCCTACACCTGAGCAAAGCTCTTGCTATTCCCTTTTACAACTGATGCCAATTCCTGGTATCCACTGAAATCGAGCTGGCCCCCATCCTTCCTTTCAGAATCCTGTGCCTGGAAGGACCTGAAGCTTGGTCACACCCAATCCTAGAGAGGGGACTCTATTCTGCTAATAAATATGTTCCAGTCTCCACAGTCACTTATTGTAGGTTTACCAGTGGGGATTTCCCCTTTTTTCCTTAAATATTGTGCATTCTATTTTATACCCATTTAAGCCCATTTTATTCATGTTCCGTTCTTAGGAAGACTAGTTGTTAACACAGTGCTTCACTGATTAAAGATCTTCTCTGGGCGATTCCTCTGGATTCTCTTAAACTGTTTTCAGCCGTCTTGATTTCTAATCTCTTTGCAAGGCCAACCTGAAGCAAATTGTAGAAAACAAATTTGGTCTCACCCTATGCCTTTGAACTTATTCCTTGGTCATTTAGCAGACCCCCAATTTCCCTCATTTAACACAGACCCCAGTTCACTCCCAGGCACAAGCAGGTCACTGTGGAGCCTCCAGCCTCCCTTCACTGTGGAGGGACAGCAAGGGAAGGGTTTTATTACTTTCTCAAATAGGTTCTGGAATCAGGGTTCAGACTTACTTATTCATTCCACTCCAAATTCATGGTCAAAGATGAGAAGTCTAGAAAAGTACAGTTGAGTCTGGTGAAGCTGGCTACGGCCAATAAAAATATATCAGTTATATCAACATAATATACATTAGAGTATCAGGATTATTAAAGCCAAATTTAATTGAAATCTGTGAACATAAACAAACTGAATCTAAGTTGTTTCTTTGATAATTTTGAAAACAAACCAATGTGCAAGAAATTGAAACTATAAACTAGTGCATATAATTAAAGGTCCACAAAGAAAGCAGCAGGGCAGTTCTGAGGAGAGATTTAAAGATGAGCCGGCGGGTCTCCTTATTTAACCTGTTGGCTGTATCTGCCGTGTTTAAAAATCTCCGGACGTCATTTCACAGAATATAGGCCAGTTCTTTCTCAACCTCCTTTGCTAAGGAGATGTAAAAATAGCTAGCTTAGCTGTCCTGGGAACTGGGCATGTACTTGGGCAAAGGAGAGCTGCACCAGACACCTGAAGGGCAAACCTGCCTCTCACTAAGTCCCAAGAACGCTCCGGGGCAGCAGAAGCCCAGGGCGCCCCTCCAGCCCTGTAGGGACCAATGCTGAGGTGTAACATCTTGGAAGCAATGTAGCTGCTGAGCCTTTGTGAGGGCAGGTTGACACCTGCCAAGAATTTGCTAGAGAATCTTAATTGGCTCAGTTCTCCAGCAGAGACGGCCTATGTGATGCTAATAGGGTGTAACTTCATGAGCAAACCTGCTCCACCAGATCTAGGTAAACAGTTGGGGTTTTTTTAGGTTAAGGCTTTGGGTTCCCGAGAAAAATGAAAATCCCTCCAGGAGAGGAATAGCACTTTAAGCCCATGTTGGGCATTCACTGTTCAGAGAGAGATAAGAGAAACAAGCCAGTTCAAACAAAAGATTGCAGAACTTGAAGTGGGGATGGGTGGCGGAGTTGAAGGTACACTTTCACACTCCACAGCAATCTGAGACCTTTTGTTCATCATATGTGAAATTAATGGAGAGGCCTATGCTTCCTTATTATTGGCTTTTTAAAAAAGTATTGGGATGACATTGGTCAGCATGAACATATAGATTTCAGGTGCAGACTTCTATGTTATAACATCTGTTTATTACCCACCACCCAAGGTCAAACCTTCTCCTGTCACCATATATTAAGTCCCCTTTCTCCCATCATTGGCTTTTGCAGACTTCCTATGCCCTTTGACATTGACCAAAATAAATAAATAAATGCCCACACTACTAGGGGGCACAAGCATTGGGCCTCTGGTAGGTCCTCAGAATGAAGGCCCAACGGGGAACGGTAGGAACCTGCGGGGTGGGTAGGGTGTGCTAACTTCAAATCTGTGACCTGCTATGGACTCTGACTCCCAGATTCTTCTATGGTAAACTATGTAGAGCTTTGTTTGACTACTTACATACTGGATGCTGTTATGTTGCTAACATCGTGTTTCTCGTTGGCTGTGACCTTGATGGCTTGTGAAGTAATCTCTTTTCAGTACAAATTTTGGTTAAAGCATTTTGTCAATATTCCTGCCTCTGCTTTGCTCCTTTGGTGAATGTCCTTTGAGGGAGTTGCTGCTGTTTCACTCTTTGTAATTGTGAAATCTGCACCTAATCTCTGGATTGGAATATCCAGTTGTCTATTATAAATACTGGAATTATAGCAAAGGATGTGGGGACTGGGCTGCTTTTTTGTATTGTACAAGCATCGTTCTGGAAATTAAAGAAATTTAACCACGCAGTATTCCAATACAAAGCATTTAAATATGAAAATGGTCTCAGGTTAGCCTGATAGATCCATATGATTAGAGATCCCACACACATTTGCATGGCCTGGCCACTTAAGAATAGATACACATCCCTCTTTGTACCTCTGTGGTTTCCCCCTTTCCTCTCAGTTACCAAGGACCAAATTAAGATGAAATAATGATGACAAGATTCCTGGGACTAAAATGCTTCCCTTTCCCTCCAGGACAAGGGAGTTGGGGCAGACCCCAAACCACAGCCCTTTAGCTGGTACAGACCCTGCAACAAAACAGCAGCAGCATTTCCGCTTCAACTGCTCCAAAGGCTGGAGCCCTAGTCATTTCACCTCCATTGTAAGAGACACCAATTTCCATCCGCCACCCCTCCCCCAGACGTCCCAATTGTAAAGAGCAAGATTACACAAACTCTTACCTAATAAGGACCTCAGATGGCTAGTGGGAGAAGGGAAATACATTTTTTAAGTATCAAAGAAGGAAATTAAAAAACAAAATTTTTCAAAATAATTTTAAACTTAGAGGAAAGGAACAAGAATAGTATAAAGAACTCCTATATCCTTCACCCATGTGCCCCAACTGTTAACATTTTGCCATATTTGTACACTCGTGTGTGTGTGTGTGTGTGTGTGTGTGTCTACTCACACACTGTTTTTCAACCACTTGGAGTAAACTGCAAACATTGTGTCCATTTATCTCTAAATATTTCAGTGGATATTTCTTAAAACAGGAGATCATATTACATAACCACAATACAAATATAAAAATCAAGAAATTTAGCATTGCTAAAATATTATGTAATACAGTCCATACTCAAATGTTGCCTGTTGTCCAAATGATGTATTTCTTTTCCAGTTCAGGATCTAATCCAGGATCACACTTGCACGAAATTGTCATGTCTCATTAGACTCCTTTAATCTGAAAGAGGTCTTCAGCTTTCCTTTGTCTTTCATAACATGGTCATTTTTTAAGAGTATGTTCAATCTAATTTTTAAAAAGAATTTCCATCATTCATGGGTTTGTCTGATCTTTCCTCATTAAGTTAAGTTTAATGTTTGTCTCGATTTGAGCAGGAGTAACACATGACATTGTGTAATAATTTGCCATCCATCTGGGCAAATTATCCTCCATGTATCACAGAAGGAAGTGATGTTAACAATGATCACTTGGTTTAGGTCTTACCCAATACCCTACCAGGTTTCTCCAGTATAAATTTACTATTTTTATCTCTGCAATTAATAATTTGGGGAAATAAACTGAACCTATATAAATTCCCTGTGAGTCATCAGGTTTTCACCCAATAAGTATAGCATATATTTATCTCACCCAAGCATGTTATTACTATGATGATTGCCAAGTGGTTGACACTATTGTGGGAATGCTTTTTCTTCCTTTCTAATTTATTTATGTACTTATTATCATTATGAACTCATAACTCTTATCTTTTTTTAATGTATTTTTATTGATTTCAGAGAGGAAGGGAGAGGGAAAGAGAGATAGAAACATCAATGATGAGACAGAATTGTTGATCAGCCACCTCCTGCACACCTCCTACTAGGGACTGAGCTGCAACTCGGGCATGTACCTCAACTGGGAATTGAACCATGACCTCCTGGTTCATAGGTCAATGCTCAACCACTGAGCCACACTGGATGGGCATAACTCTTATTTTAGTAATTGGGTTAAAAATCCAACCCTGTCTGGTGTGACTCAGTGGTTAGAGGGGCAGCCTGCGCACCGAAGGGTCATGGGTTCGATTTCCAGTTAAAGGCACATACTTGGGTTGCAGGTTCAATTCCCAATGCTGGTTGGGGTGTATGCAGAAGGCAACTAATCAACATGTCTCTCTCACAATGATGTTTCTCAATCTCTCTCTCTCTCTCTCTCTCCCCCCCCCCTCCCTCCCTTTCTCCCACTCTCTCTAAAAATCAATGGAAAAAAATATCCTTGGGTAAGGAGTGAAAAAAAAATCCATTCCCATCATTTCAATGCTCAAATTGTCACAAATTTAAGCAGTGAGAGCTTCAAGATGACTGACCCTTAGACATATCCTATTATTGTAGCACTCCCTTACTTTCTGGAACAATAAAAAGTTCCAGGCTCATCTTGACTCTCCCTACCCCAGCCCAGGAATCTGCCACTTCCTCAAGGAGCCCTGGTTCCTTTAGGTAGAGAATGGTCCTGACTCAGATCAGGACTCAGGATATACTCATTACTATTAGACTGAAACTAAGAAATATGGCCCAGTCAGTATGGCTCAGTGGTTGAGCATTGACCTATAAATCAGGAGGTCACCCTAGCTGATTTGGCTCAGTGGATAGAATGTCAGCCTTCTGACTGCAGGGTCCTAGGTTTGATTCTGGTCAAGGGCACATGCCAGGGTTGTGGGGATCCCCAGTAGGGGGCGTGCAGGAGTCAGCCGATCAATGATTCTCATCATTGATGTTTCTCTCTGTTTCTCTCTCTCTCTCTCTCTCTCTCTCTCTCTCTCTCTCTCTCTCTCTCTCTCTCTCTCTTAAAAAGAAATATGTACATGTGGACACTTATTAAAAGCAATGAATTCATATTGACACCTGCAATTCTAATCCTACACCAAAGGAGTCTTCTTTTTCCATATGTGTATCTCCCTTCTCCAATAGTTAGAATCATCACTTGCTCATTTGCTTAATCTTTTAAGAGTTTCAGAATTGCCACTCTCATATCACTGTGAAAAACTAACCTTTTAGTAAAGTTCCAATATTTGTTTGCAGGTTTTTTGGTGGTTTTGTTTTGTTTTGTTTTGTTTTTTTGTTTGGGTTTTGTTGTTGTTGTTGTTGTTGTTGTTGTTGTTTTTGTTTTATTAAGATTGAAGGGAGCCGAAACCGGTTTGGCTCAGTGGCTAGAGCATCAGCCTGCGGACTGAAAGGTCCCAGGTTCAATTCCAGTCAAGGGCATGTACCTTGGTTGTGGGCACATCCCCAGTAGGGGGTGTGCAAGAGGCAGTTGATCCATGATTCTCTCTCATCAATGTTTCTAACTATCCCTCTCTCTTCCTCTCTGTAAAAAATATATTAAAAAAAAAAAAAGATTGAAGGGATAGCATCAAATTACTATGTTCAAAAATTGCTTCAGTTAATGAGGAGGACACAAGTAGAACAAGTTGAACAACTCTGGTGACATTAAATAATAATTAGCAAAAGACTTACACTCAAATAAATATTCATATTAAAATCAAAGAGGGCCCATCCATCTAGGCAAAGTATCCTCCAATGAACTGCACTGTCCCATCTCCCTCAGTGAATTAATGTGTGGGGTGGGGGAGGCATCCATCTTAAATTTATCTTCGATAATGAAAAAGCCATCATCCAGACTTATCTACATTAGTGTGCCTTATGGCAATCCATTTGTCCAAAAAGTCCTAATCTTACTTTAGATGGCCCTCATTTAGATTAGCCCCATACCATCAGAGGTTCCCCCCCGCCCCCAACACACAAATGCCCTTATGGTCCTGCTAAGAGCATTCCTCCAAAGAGTTGTATTAGCAATGATTTTCTATACATATACACTTTTTAAAACACACAATGTTGCTAAGTACTGTTCAGCAATCCTCACGTTCACATCAGCCCTCGGACTGAAGGGTCCCGGGTTTGGTTCTGGTCAAGGGCATGTACCTTGGTTGCAGGTTTAATCCCTGGCCCTGGTCAGGGCACGTGCAGAAGGTAACCAATCAATGTGTCTTTCTCACATCGATGCTGCTCTGTCTCTCCCTCTCCCTTCCACTCTCTCTAATAATCAATGGGAAAATATCCTTAGCAAAAAAACAGCAATAATAAAAACTTTACTAATTGTGACTTATCAACGAGCCACAGACTGAGAATTGAAAATAAATAAATAAAATTTGTTTCCGAGGGCTACCATAACATAGTACCACAAACTGGATGATTTAGAAACACAGAAATGTGTTACCTCACAGTTCTGGAGGCCAGAGGTCCGGCATTAGCAGGGCCCTGCTCTCTCGGAAGGCCTGGGGACCGTCTGCTCCAGGCCTCGCTCCCAGCTCCTGGTAGCCTCGGGCATTTGCAGAGGGCCTCCTTTTCCCGGGGTCTCTTCACGTTATCTTCCCCTGTGCATATCTGTCTCTGTGTCCAAATTTCCCCCTTTTATAATCACACTGGTCATACTGAATTAGGTTACCCTAATGATCTCATTTTAACTTGATTATCTCTATAAACACCCGATTTCCAAATAAGGTCATATTCTGAGGTACTGGGGGCTAAGACTCTAACATATTTTGGGGGACACAATTCAATCCATAACAATATCCAAGCAAGGAAAACACTCTATTTTGTAGACGAACAAACTGTAGACCAATGCTGGGCAGTATCAAATGGGAAGGATTTCAGAGCCACTGTTAACGTATGAAGCATCAAGGCCAGCAGAGAGACCGGGCAGGACTAGGCAGTCTTGATTGGCATGGGACAGTTACCTAGCATTTTTCAAGTACGTTGGCTTCTTCTCTCCTGGCCTCAGGAAATACAGGAAACTAATGGAATGGAACCAGATTTTTAAAGCTTCTTCTATATTTGCAAGGAGTACCTCTGGAGGCGTTAGTCCCACACATCTGGAGCCTCGTTTGAGCTAAGCTCTCTGAGTGTGCAGCTCAGAAATTCAAGGGAAAGTTTCCTTCCTAAATTCCCAGCACCATCTCTCAGGGGACCTGAAGGTTTAAATCTCAGATTGGGACAAAATAACGACCTTAATCTATTCACTATCCATAACCATTATTAACTTGATCCTGATCTATAAAAGTGGTAATGAAAGCACTTGGGTCTTTATCTCCATAATGAATACGTTCTATTCAGAATCAGTAACCCTTGCTTCATTTTTAATCATTTAATCATTTTTTTTCTGTCCTCTACTAGTCACTGGAGCCACCTCCTCCAAATGCCCCAAACCTTTGCACCATTTCCTTCACCATCTTCTTAGATCCAAGAAACACCACCCAGGCAGCCTAAAAACATCCCTTTGTTCGGCAAATGATTTTTTAACCTATGTGGGCACCTTAGGGATGCAAAAGGAAATAAGACACTGTCCCTGCCCTTCAGAAATAGAAACCAACAGAATGAGGGACAGAGAATCACCCCAGCATTGGCTTGAGATTCTCCTCCTCCCCAAGCACAAAGATTTCCCTTCTCCAGGCTTCTCTCACCATACTCTTCGGCACAGAAGAGGAAATTAGCACCGAAGTCTGAACTGCAAAGGGTAGAGTGCTTACCTGATTGAAGAGAGAGGGGAGTGAAGAGTAACAAAATGAATCTGGATTACATGCAATGTCCCATTTAGAAGCTCTTAGGAGCACAGTTCTCTGGGATTTTTTCCCAATTTGTTCCAACTTCCTGGGCCACATGCCAGGTTGCTATGCCTTTAAAAAAAAAAAAAAAAAAAAAAGGAGTCTTGCCCAGTCTGGATATAGCCTAACTGTCCTATACCGTATCTCAAACCCTTCTCTAGGGCAGAGGTCAGGTGGTAATGAAGAAATTAGAGTTGTCAGTAGGATCCTGCAAGAACACTTTGAAAATCAAATACATAAAGTCACATACATAATTCTATACAGACAACCTGAAGCAGTGAAGACAGAAGATTCTCAAGTTGAGCAGCTAGTTCAGAGTCAGAGGACTGAGCGTGCCACCTAGGAGCTGAGAGGCCTTCCCAAAAAGGATAAAAGGAAAAAGGCATCTTTATGCCACAGACCTCCGCTGGGCCAGATCATTTAAAGATCTGAGGCTGAACCAGAGGTGGGTAGGGAGCAAGGCAGGAAGGCAGGCAAGGCTTGTTTTTCTTCCAATTACTATATTATCTCAAAAGTTCTGGAATTCTGAGGTTTCTGCCAGATTCTAGGCAACTGGCAATGATTTTCTCATAACAGTTTGTTCTAGGACCGATTAGCAGCAGGCACAGCCAGGTGGTGACCTCAGAACTCCCCCGCAATGCTTTCCCTTACCGTTTGTCCTGAGAGGGCCAGGTGTGCTCTCAGGGATCAGGTGAATTCGGGCCTGCACTGCATCTCCAGGTACCCCCCTCCTCTGGAGTGCTCCGGCTGTGCTGTTCTTGCGGTATAACTCCTTCTCTCTCTCTCTTCTTTTTTTCTTCTTTTTAAAATATATTTTATTGATTTCTTACAGAGAGGAAGGGAGAGGGATAGAGAGTTAGAAACATCGATGAGAGAGAGTCATCGATCAGCTGACTCTTGCACCACCCCTACTGGGGATGTGCCCGAAACCAATGTACATGCCCATGACCAGAATCGAACCTGGGACCTTTCAGTCCACAGGCAGACGCTCTATCCACTGAGCCAAACCGGTCTCGGCATAACTCCTTCTCTTTTGTCTTACCTCACAGGTCCCTCCTCAGGAAAGTGGCCCTCCATTTGTCCTCTACCTTCTCATCATGGCCCATGTTATGAGCTTTTATAGCACTTCCGACTTTTCCTTGAAGTACCTATTAATGTTTTCATTATACATCTGTATGAATTTGGTCTATTTCTCCCACTAAATTCTAAGCTGAGACCAGAGTTCATGTTATTTTGCCCATCATGGTGTCATCTCACCTAATAGCCCTTGGAACATATATACCCAATAATAGTGCCAGAGGCCCAGTGCAAGGAATTCGTGCGGAGCGGGGGAGGAGGGCACGGGGAGGTTCAGCCCAACCTGCACCCAATTGCTCACCTGCCTGCCTGGTTACCCCTAACTGCCCCCTCACTGAAATCAATAAGACTACATTTAAAAAAAAAAAAAAAAAAACAAGAAAGCTGGCACTGATCACTGATCATGTGATTCTTTTTTTAATATATTTTATTAATTTTTTACAGAGAAGAAGGGAGAGGGATAGGGATAGAGAGTTAGAAACATTGATGAGAGAGAAACATCGATCAGCTGCCTCCTGCATACTTCCTAATGGGGATGTGACCACAACCAAGGTACATGCCCTTGACTGGAATCGAACCTGGGACGTTTCAATCCGCAGGTCAACGCTCTATCCACTGAGCCAAACCGGTTTCGGCTTATCATATGATTCCTAAGGGTAGGAAATAACAGGACGGGGTTAAAAGTAAGTGGAATTTTAGATCTGAGAAGGAACTTACAGATCAAATCCCAATCCTCAATTCACAGATGAGGACCCTTGAGGCCCATTTATTTATTCACTGAACAAATATTTATTGTGTGTCTACATGCTCAATGCTGGAAATACATGAACAAGACATGGTCCGAAGAGGGAAAGTGGCTTGCCCAAAGCCACAAAGCAAGTTAGCAGGTAAACAGGGGCTCTTCGCACTAAACCCTATTTTCTAATAATATACAATCATTTCTGTATCTGTAAGTACACTAAGCTTTGATAAAGGTTCTATGCAAAGATAAGATTTTCATATGCAAGTGATATAATACAATATAATAACATTCCGCAACATAAGGGATATATATGTATGTTATCTTGCACAAAAAAAGTTGTTTTGCACAGTAACTACCCAGGTTTAACTTAGTAGATTTAAAATATTTTAAAATATGCTTAAATTTCAAAGGAGATACTACATGTAAACTGAATCTAAGGCAGGCCCTAAACAAGAGCAAATAATATTGTCTCCAAATGGGAAATAGCAGAAAGAACTCTAGGAAGTAGGAAATATATGTATAGATGTGTATATATATAATATTCAGATTATGTTAGAATTTATGTAAAATAACCACACATAGATTCTTCATTAACACTTGAAATGGTAATTTCCTTGGAAGTGCTTTCTAATTTCTTTGTCATAAGTCATTAGGGATTTCATATACAAATTCTGACAATCTGCTTCTTAAATTTTTTCAAGATGACTTCTGGTCATATAACTATGACTCTTACTATATTCTTTCTATTTTAAAATATAACTTTCACTTAACTAGTGTTCTAATATTTTATTTTCAATAAATTACTCTATTTAAAAGACCTAGTTCTCACATTAATCATTCATAAAATAACCAGTTTGGTTACTTTAGTGTTATAATACAAACAGAGATTTAGTTCCTCCTTTATACAATGTAAATATCCTGCACTAGGGCTTACTTCTTTAAAAGAAAACTTACGTACCTCATTTCAAAATGAAAATGGCACCTATTATAAAATGAAAAATGAGAACCAATCTTTTTTGTAGCTTTTTGCTGATTTAATAACCTGAAAAAAAGCAATAGGGGAGGTCTTTAATACAGGAGAGGACAGGAGCCTCTATAAGAAGCAATACGATAGCCTCGGAGTTCCTCTTTAATTAAAACAAACCATAAGAAAAGGTGTGAAATTTTTGTGACTTATTTAAATAATAAGTTTTTGAGACACTCCTGATTGGAAAATAGTAATTTATATTCCAACAACTCTTGAGAATCAGAGATGGAGAGCTGAGGGAATTGAAAAGCTACTTGTGCTGTAACTCTAATATTACATGAAGTTCTAAGGTTGGTTTTCTGTCCTCGGACTCTAGAAGGCTCTCCTACTGCTGCATTTCCTTCCCCTGGCCATTCACTCCCTATTACTGTTGTCCTTCTTCTCTTCGTGGTAAACTCTGTTGAGACAGGCACCTTGAATCAATCATAAGCAAAAAGCCGATACTCAATAATGAATACCATAGTTGGTAAGCAGAATTTAAAAATCGATAACATGTATTCTAATTTATATATCCATACTCTGAAACGAACTATAATAATAAAAACTGAAAGTATATCAGAAACACGTGGTTTTACCTCAATCATCGGGGTATGCTAAATGGCAGGGCAGGGCTGAGAATTTTGAAGGATCTGGCTAAAATAACATGGTATATGCTGTTCTAAAAATATCAACCACTTTTTAAACAGGAAGAATCAACTTCAAGCCTCAGATAATGAAAGACAGAAGAGAACTTTCAGGAATAAAAGAAACATTAAGTGGAAAAAAATGACAAGATAATTTTATCTCTGGGTTAAGACATTTTAATATACATAATGTATAGTACTTCATATAATTTATTAATGTCATTTACTATAGGGCACTGTAATTAATTCAGTGACATCAATATTGACCTCACACAAGGATAAAAGCTGGGTTTTCTTGTGTACCAAGTTCAAAACATGTACTGAAGAGTTATCGCACACAACAGTTATAGGAGATCAACTTTAAGGATGACTCAAGTTTACAGTAGTTGCTTCACATGGTTTTCCCTCAAGACTTGAATGCCACCCAGTGTTGCCATGTTTGTGCAAATGCCAGCTCTGGACTGCCCAACTACCTCCTTTTACCAGCCCCACTTTTGCCTGTTTTACTGCTGCTGCTGCTAGACTTGCCAGATGATTTTGAAGAGAAGAGTCTTGTCATGAACTCAGAAACATCAGGCAGTTCATGATTGGAATTCAGCATATTCATCGACTGCTCCATCTCCTGCAGGAAGAGAAAGCATAATGACATGAAAGGCACAGGGATCCCTGGGTCACTGAACAACTGACACTTCCATGAAGGAAGAAGGAAAGGAGTAGAACAAGTGAGAGGCACTGGTTCTAAGCAATGATGCACTGTTATACCCAAAAGCACTTCAGAAACCATGTTTTGTGCCTCCTTTATACCAGTACTAGAGGCCCACCCAATGCATGAAAATTCATATAAGAGTAGGCTTTTTTTTTTCTCCCCGCCCCCAGCTGCCAGCACCAGCTTCCCCCAGGCACCCGGGATGCAGGCAGCTTGCCTCTGGTTGCTGGCAGGCACTGGGACCTCGGTGGCTTCGCTCCAGCCCCAGCTTCATCTGGAATGATGTCCAGTCTAATTAGCATATTACCTTTTATTATTATAGATGCATTTTGATCCTTAGTAAATGTCCAATAAATGCTTGCCTAGGGTCTGCCTCAGCTTATCCTTCCTATATAATAAAAGGCTCATATGCAAATAGACCAAATGGCAGAACAACCAAACAACTGAACCACCAGTCGTTATGATGTGCACTGACCACCAGGGGGCAGGCGCAGAACATGGCAGTGTCAGCAACAGGTGGCAGAGTACGGAACACGGCAGGTGTCAGCCGCGGAAGGATGGTGGAGGTGAGCGGGGTGCCAGACCAAAGCAAGGTGCCAGTTGCTGTCATTGGGGCAAGCCTCCGGTGGTTACTGGAAATTCTTTGCTCCTGTGTGCCATTGTCCCACCCGGTGCTCGTACCCACTGCTGGCACCTAGCACTGGTCTTTTTTTTTTTTTTTTAATAAATTTTTATTGTTCATATTATTACAAATGTTCCTCTCCCATCCCCTCCATTGCTCTCCTCCACCAGGTTCCCACCCCACCCTCTGCCCTTTCCCCACTCCCCATTGTCCTCATCCATAGGTGCACAGTTTATGTTCAGTCTCTTCCCACATCCCCCTCTCCCCTTTTCCCCATGAATCATCAGTTCACTCCTTCAATACCTCTGATTCTATTATATTCAACAGTTACTATTGTTCATCAGTTTTGTTTTGTTTTTAATTTCCTTGGTTTTTAGATTCACTTGTTGATAGTTACGTATTTGTTGTTCATAATTTTTATCTTTATTTACTTTCTCTTTCGAAAGAACCCCCTTCAGCAATTCATATAATTCTGGTTTGGTGCTGATGAACTCCTTTAGCTTTTTTTTTTTTAGTGAAGCTCTTTATCTGGCCTTCGATTCTGAGTGATAGCTTTGCTGGATAGATTATCTTTGGTTGTAGGTTCTTACTATTCATCACCTTGAATATTTCTTGCCATTCCCGTCTGGCCTGCATGGTTTCTGTTGAAAAATCAGCTGACAGTTGTATAGGTGCTCCTTTATAGGTAACTACCTGTTTTGCTCTTGCTGCTTTTAATATTCTCTCTTTGTCTTTTGCTCTTTGAATTTTAAGTATGATGTGTCTTGGTGTGGTCCTCTTTGGATTCCTTTTGTTTGGAGTTCTGTGCGCTTCCTGGACTTGTAAGTCTAATTCTTTCACCAGGTGGGGGAAGTTTTCTGTCACTATTTCTTTCAGTATGTTTTCGATATCTTGCTCTCTCTCATCTCTGGGACCCCCATAATTCTGATGGTTCGCTTGAAGTTGTCCCAGAGGTTTCTTACATTATCTTCAATTTTCTGGATTCTCTTGCCTTCTTGCTTCTGCGGAGGAGTGTCTTCTGGCTCTTTATGTTCCAAATCTTTGACTTGATTCTTGCAATCTTCCCTTCTGTTTTTAGGACTCTGTATAATATTTTTTATTTCAGACAATGTATTCTTTATTTCTTGTTGATCCCTTATCATTTCTGTTGATTCCTTATTAATTCTAGTTGATCCCTTTTCATATCCTCACAGGTCTTATCGACCTTTTCTAGGAAATTCTTGAAAAACCTTATAAGCGTAGATTTGAACTCTAAATCCAGTTGCTTTTTGTCCTCCATTTCTTTCGTTTGTGATCTATTTCGTTGTCTGGGCATTTTCACAGCTTCCCTGATGGGGCGGGGTTTCAGGGTGGAGCCTACAGGCTTGGCTTCCGTCAGCCACGCCCTATGCAATTCTGAGTCTCAGTAATCCCCAGGGTCCTTCAGTACTCATTGCAAGCGCCTCTGCAAGAAAGGTGCCCTCGATTTTCGCCTGCTACCAAACAGTCTAGGCTCTCCCCCAATGAGCCCGGAACTGGGGTTCAGTTCAGTTGGAAGTGGGGTTGGAGGTGGCGTTCAGAGCAGTCTGGAGCCCATGTCTCCTTCCCACCAGGGAAATCCCGCGGCACAGCCAACGGTCCCTTCTCTGTGCACAAAGTGTGCGCCTCCGGGGGCTTTGCCTTTTGCCACCCCCCGGGGGTTCCGCCTTACAGCCCAGCTCCCTCTGTGTGAGCCTGGGTCCCCGGGGTCTGGCCTAGAACTGGGGTTCAGCGTTGTCGGGTCTGGGATTCAGCACAGTCCGGAGCTTTTATCTCCTTCCTGCTAGGGAACGCCAGCCAGGCACTCAGCTGCCCCTCTTCTCTGGCTCCGTCCTCTCCCCGCGCTGCGTGTCTCCGTACCTTAGGCTTTTACAGCTCCTCCGCGCTTCCTTCTGGTTTTCTCCTTGCTTCTCGTTGTAGAATTTCCAGTCAGTCGACTTTCCTGTAGTTCTGGGTAATGTCCATTTTATATTTTAGTTGTATTTTATTGAAATTGTTGTGTGCGGCTGCGGTTAGGTGTTTACCTGTGCAGCCATCTTGGATTCTCCCCTAGCACTGGTCTTGATGGCTTGGTGCAATGAGTGGGTGCGAGTGGCACCTGCCGGTCCTCATCGCCCCTCAAGGCTTCTCCACCTTCCCCTGCTCCTGAGGGGTGATCAGGACTGGCTCTTGCACCCACAGCCAGCACCAGGCACCAGTCCCAATCACTTGGCACCATCAGTGGGTGCAAGCAGCAGCTGCCAGCCCCAATCACCCGTGAGGGCTTCTCCATCTCCCCTTGTTCCTTAGGGGCAATAAGGGCAGCAGCCACCGCTTGCACTCGGTGACGCGCCAGCCCCACTCACTCTGCGCTGTCAGCCGGTGTGAGTGAAGCTGGTGCCGTGCCGTCAGCACATGGGAGTGGTGGCAGCAGGGGCCAGGTGGAGGCACAGGGGATGGGCCAAGACCCACCTCTGTGCCCACTGTAGCCCAAGTTCCTTTCAAGATACATGAATTCATGCATTGGGCCCCTAGTGTTTTTATAAAAGGCACTAGAGGCCCAGTACACAAAATTCATACACTTGGTGGGTGGGTGGGGGGGGGGAAGGGGCCCTTCAGCTCAGCCTGTGCCCTCTTGCAGTCTGGGAGCCCCATGATTGATTGCCCCGCAAAGGGAGACCCCACTCACTGCCACTGGCCGGATAGCCTGGGCTTCCCTCTTTGAGGCGATCATGGAGCCTCTGCGGGGGACCACCTGACAAATCGCATTGCACCTGCCTTGGCAGCAGCAGTCAGTGCTGGATCACCACGGTGCCCATGACTCAGGAGGGACTGGGAGGTCAGCAGTTCAGCCCACTTGCCAGTCCCTGCCCACCCCAGCCTGCTGCATGCGCAGCCTGGCATTCGGGCGTCCATTCAATCATTTTGGACATTACGGACCCTGGCTCTTTATAGATTAGGATTTCCTCTAATAATGGACATATGTTATCATATTCCAGCCACCTTATTTGTTTTCTGATTACAATGTTTTGACAAGTGTTTTTTAAACTCACACTTTCTTTAGATACATATAACCAGAACATCAATCTTTAATTACCTATCAAGGTATCAGCATAATCTGTATTTCTAAGATTTGATTGATTCCTAAGGCCCTTAGTAATACAGTTATGTCATATGACCTTGGTAGCCTCAACTATAACATCTAAAGCAAGCAACACAAATCCTACAAACAAGTTACTGGCAGGACAGAATAAGGGTCTGACACTTTTATTTTGAGGTCTGTCTTCCCCTTTATTAAGCCAAAAACCCACAAGTACTGTTCCACTTTTGCAATATTATTATAACGTCTGCTTCATTTGAATTTTATGTGGCATTCCAAAAGTGAATTTAAAACGGTTACATCAGATATGAAAAAATAGCAAATACTATATTACCTATCATTTAAAATTTAATACCTTTTGGGTATTAGCTTGGACTTTCTCCCCAAAGGAAGAATTTATACATAGGTTTTCAAAGAGAAAGTGCTTTACAAATAAGGTCAGGAAAAGAAACATTATAAATATAAATCAAATATGTTTAATGTGTCCTAATAATAAAGAATTAAATGTATATGGTAATAAGTCTTGAGTCCCTGCAAAAATATATCAACTCTATTTTTTTTAAATATATTTTTATTGATTTCAAAGAGGAAGAGAGAGGGAAAGAGATGAAACATCAATGCTGAGAGAGAATAATCGATTGGCTGCCTCCTGCACACCCCACATTGGAGATCGAGCCCACAACCTAGGCATGTGCCCTTGACTGGAATCGAACCTGGGACCCTTCAGTCCGCACGCTGATGCTCTATCCACTGAGCCAAACCAGCTAGGGCTCAACTCTATTTTTTAATCTGTTCAGTTCTGAAGCTCTTCTTTTTTTTTATTCTGAGATTACATTTATTAAAGATGGGGACAATGAAACAAGGAATAGCTTAGGAAAGAAGTAACAGAAGAACCTAGGCAGGGCTGCTTTGGCTCAATAAGAAATCAGGAAAAAGGGGGGCTTGGAGACAGGTTCAGGGGATTAGTCCAGCATGAGCTGCCACTGACCATTGCTCCCCTGGTTGCAAATTTCATGGGGACCCTTAGAGTTTAGAAGGTGCATGTCTGAGAGAGAAGAAGAAGGTGAAGGAAAGACACAGGCATGCTCCTGGGAGAGGGAGCACACTTGAAGCTCTTGAATGAACAACTTTTTATATTGCTTACCATGTGAAAAGTACTTTACAAGTAAATTAATTTTTAATCCAATGTGACTTTTAATGCTGTATCTGTTGATGCCACAGAGAGTTAAGTGGCTTAACAGATATAAGGAATCTATAGGATGTACACTTTCTGACCAACAATGAAGCAGATGCCAAAATTTAGCAATAAAATATTATAAAACATTATAAAGCTTTCTTTTTCCACAAAGCTTTTTCTGTCATTCCAACTTGGAATAAAATGCCTCACCTTCTACACAAGTTATTATCTTAGCAAACATTTTTATTTATTATATGTTTATCTTAGCAAGAAGAATTTTTACAAATTCATTCTATTTCCTACACTATATTTAAGTGGATTATGAACTTATTGATGACAGAGATGACATAACTCATTTGCATATTCCCCAGTATCAAGAACCTAGAATTAGTAAATGTTTTTCAGCAATGAATAAGATATCAACACATCAATACATTAATTAATTATAATAGGGAAACTTGGAACTAAGAAGATATTTATTGATTATTTTAAGTGGAAGAATGGACAATGATTTTTTAAAAACTGAAGATTTTATATGGAAGCCAATTTAAAAGAGACAAAGCTGTGGCACTAAACTTGAAGCATCCTACTCGTATCTCCCCAGTCCAGTTTTGTGATACAAAGTCTAAAAGCCACTATTCTATTTTCAACCTTAGTCTATTCAAATTTCTTTCATGTGTGTGAACACATAAACTAAATGTGTACTCTAAAGAGTTTTGTAAAGTAAAAACAGAATATAGGAAGCTATCATTTTGTAAAATATTTGGGTTGAGAATACCAGGATTATTACACATTTCAACTCTATAACAAGTGAGGCACAGAGTCTAATACTAAGAATGTTTTAGCTATATGAAGAGACACCAGCCTTTATTAAGCTGAAACAACTGAATTTATCTGGTGCAATGGTAATGACTATCTAAATGCCAGGGATATAATACTGTATTAGCACAACCTCTAGTTGAATTTGGCTTGGGAATTAGGATAAAGCTGAAAGATCCAAGCCACCCAGCCACAACAGATGGACCAGGCATCAGAATATGGTTCAAAAACCCACAGCTAGGCAATCATCTTACCCGTCTCATGTCAGGATCACTTGTGTTGACCACTTTGGGCAGAAGTACAAATATCAACAATGGAAGAACCATCATCATAACCTGTGAGAGGGAAAAAAAAATCAGAAAATGTTTCTTTCCACTTAACAGTAGAACAAAATCTGCATCTAATCAATGATAAAATTAAAGATTTAAATGTTGTATTTATATATATAAAACCCTAATATGCAAATAGACAGAATAGAAGAACAACCTAACAACTGGTTGCTATGATGTGAACTGATCACCAGGGAGCGTGCACAGAACATGGTGGAGCAAGTGAGAGGTGGCATCAGACCAGAGCAGAGCACCAGCTGCTGTCATTGTGGTGAGCCTCTGGTGGTTACTGAAAATTCTTTGCTCCAGCATGCTGCTGTTCCACCAGGTGCTTGCACCTGCTGGCAGCACCAGTCCCACTTGTACCCGCTGCCGGCGTCAGAGCTGCTGCTCATACCCGCTGCCGGCACCCGGCACCAATCTCTCAGCACCATCAGCAGGTGTGAGCATCAGCTGCAGGCTCCAATCACCCCTCAGGGCTGCTCCACCTTGCCCTGCTCCTGAGGGGCAATTGGGGCCGGCAGCTGCCTCCCACACCCACTGCAGTTGCCAGCCTGAATCACTCCGTGCCATCAATGGGAGTGGGGCCGGTAACAACAGCGCATGAGAATGGTGGTGGCAGGAGCTGGGCTGCCAGAAAACAGGGGATTGGGGACTGTGGCAGGAGGGGCTAGGTGGGGGTGCAGAAAATGGGCTGAGATCCAACCCTGCGCCCACCGCAGCCTCTCGACACATAGTTCCTTTCAAGGTGCACGAATTCATGCACTGGGCCCCTAGTATAGAATAAAACTAGTAGCAACCACCTCAATTCTCCTGAACCAGTTTTGCTGATTACACGGTACTCATCAATGTCTGACTGTTGCAAAATATAAAAGCCTTGTCTATATGTATGTGTTTGGATTTTATAGACACCTTACTCTGAGTTTGTGCCATCTACCATTTTGTTGTTTATAGCTTTAGTTAACACAAATAGTTTGGTCTTAGATGACCTTGCTAGTGGTTCTCAACCTGTGGATTGCAACTGCTGCTGTAGAGTCTAAGGCCATCGGAAAACACAGATATTTACATTACGATTCAATAACAGTAGCAAAATTACAGTTAGGAAGTTGCAACAAAAATAATTTTATGGTTGGGGGTCACCACAACATGAGGAACTGTATTAAAGGGTCACGGCATTAGAAAGGTTGAGAACCACTGCTCTAGAGCAATATATTTCTAGGCAACTATTTTAGCAGATCAATTCAAAAGATGTCCTAGAAGCTTATAGCTTTGGATATGCTTCCATGAATTTCATTAATTAGAATACAGCCCTGACCGGGTTCCTCAGTTAGCTGGAGCATTGACCCAATACACCAAAGTTATGGGTTCGGTCTCCCGTCAGAGCACATACTAGAATCAACCAATGAAAACATCAATGAGTGGAACAATAGATCAATGTTTTTCTCTCTCAAATCAATTAAAAAATAATAATAATAATAAAAGAAATTGGAGCCCTAGCCACTTTAGCTTAGTGGATAGAGCATCAACTGCAGATTAAAGGATCCCAGGTTCAATTCCGGTCAAGGGCACATGCCCGGGTTGCAGGTTCCATCCTCAGTGGGGGAGGGGGTGGGGGGGGTGCAGGAGGCAGCCAATCAATGATTCTCTCTCATCACTGATGTTTCTATCTCTCTCTCCCTCTTCCTTCCTCTCTGAAATTAATAAAAAATATATATATATTTTTTTAAATAAAGAAATTGAAACATGAAGTCTCATTGCTGAATTCTCCTATCTACTCTATCCTTCTGTTTCTTCATCCCTGATAGGAGATTCTAGGTACTAATTTATTCCTCTCTAGAGGATATACAGTCCTAAACATTCCTATTGGTAATCTGAATAGCTATCAGCAAAGAATGATCAAAACTTAGACAATTCTAACAATAACTCAACTTTCAAAAGCAGAAAAAAAAAAAAAGTCAATTTACCTCTAAAGAATGTACTCTGTTAGTGTTTTTTCTTAATTCTTTTCTATTGATCTGAGCAAGAGAGGAATGGGGGGGGGGGGGGGGGGAATAAATACTGGTTACCTCCCACAAGAGCCCAGATAGGAGGATTGAACCCACAACCTGGGTATGTGCCCTGACTGGAAATTACAATGTCAAATCTACCATGCAATTCTCATTATATTCTTTTCATTAAATATTCCTCAAATCTACTAATTATACTTTCACTCAACAACCTGATGTCAGCTTTCTATCTCATAGGGGTTAAAAGTTTTCAACTGCTTAGAAGCAAATTAGAGATTAGTAAAGATACTTTGGTATAACCTGATACATACCATTGGGTTCATCAGAAAGTCTGTCCAGCCCCATGATTCCCTTTTAATAAAGTAAGAAGGTGGGCCTGAAGATTTCATTTGAAGCGGATAGGGCAGTCTGACCACTTCTGATGTTTTAATATAATTCACATATCTTGCTCTGATAAAACAACACGAAAAATCAGTAATTCTACTAAATACATTACTAGTTCAAAGAACTGCCTATAAGCAATGGTTTATAATTACCTATAGCTTTTCCCAAATACTTAGATATCTAAACTTTTGACGAAAGTCTGATCAAAGTAGCTTTACATATGTCCAAAATATTTAGCAAAATGTAAAGAAAAAACACAAGACTTGGAATCAAGCTACACATTTAAAAGAAATAGCGATACATATTTTATCCAGCATTCTAAGGTTTTACATTCGGCCAAAATGTCAGAAGTGAAAGTCTCACATATACTTTAAACTAACTTACCAAGTATGCTTATAAAGCATTGGTCAAGAATATTAGGATCTTTTTTAAAAAATGTTTTTTATTGATTTTAGAGAGAAAAGGGCAAGGGAGAGGGAAAGAGGAGAGGGAGAAAGAGAAACACTGATTGGCTGCCTCCCACAAAAAAACCAACTGGGGATTGAACCCAAAACCTGCGTATGTGCCCTGACCGGGAATTGAACCAGCAACCTTTTGGTGCATGGGACAATGCTCAACCAATTGAACCACACAAGCCAGAGCAAGAATATTAGAATCTTATACGAATCCCACTTGATAAGGTCCTTGTTTTCTTTTTATCTATGCTTCAGGCATCCAATCATTAGGAATGGATCTGAGAATAAGAATCCCACTGCTGCAACCAGTCCTTAAATTAGGGGTGTCAAACTCAATCAGAGAAGGGGCCAAAATCTAAAATCCAGCCTAAATCGCGGGCCAAATGGTTTACTGAACAGTCATAAACTGTCATTGTGATGGAAACGCAGCGGAGTGCAGTGATGACAGCGCGGTGCGGGCCACATTGCAAGGCCTGGCAGGACGGATTTGGCCCGAGGGCCTTGTGTTTGACACATGTGCCTTAAATGCTAAAGCAGGAAGTACTCTTTCCCCAAGGTAAAAAAGCAAATAAAACTTCCATATTTAGAAAAATATTTCTATTTGCTTAGACTACAAATTCAAAATTCAAACAGAGTAAAAAGAATAAAAATCATTTTGTTTTTAACAGGCAAGTATTCCCTTTTAAAAATTCTCATCCCCTCCAGAATTCAGTATTTGCTATTTAAAAAGTTTTTTAAGGATGGAGGGAGGCAATGGGGGAAACGAGGGACATCCCATTCCCATCCCCTCCCCAGGCCTTCATCCCACTGTTGTCTGTGTCCATGAGTTCATGTACGTATGCATGCATATAGTTTCTTTGGTTGATCTCTTCTCTCCTCTTCCCTCTCAGGGAATCCTCAGTCTGTTGCATGCTTCCATATCTCTGGACCTATTTTGTTTGTCAGTTTATTTTGTTCATTAGATTCCACATATAAGTGAGGGGGGAAAGTTTTCTAACCTGTATATAATGTATACTGTAATCTACATATTCTACCACCTCCAAGCTTGCAATTCAAAATGTGTAAAAAGTCATGATAAGTCCTTTAAGATTTAATTTACATACTAGAATTTAATTGTACATTTTTTTTTAAATCTTTATGTCCCTAAAAAGAATGAGAAAGTTGATACCTAACGAGGTTCATGTACTTTAAAGCAATCCATTTATCATTTAGTTCGTCAGATTATTTGTGAACATATTTGCAAGGTATTAGCTTCAATTCAAGCTTCACTTTTGCTCTAAATAGCCAACATCAAGAAATATGATTAGAATTTGGACAAAGTAGAATAATCTAAGATAAAAACTGAACTTCAAAAAGAGAGGAATTTGTTTCTAAATAATGAATTTTTAGCCCTGGCTGGTTTGGCTCAGTGGATAGAATGTTCGTCTGCAAACTAAAAGTCCTGGGTTCAATTCTGGTCAAGGGCACATGCTGGGTTTCAGGCTTGGTCCCGAGTGGGAGGCATGCAGGAGGCAGCCAACCAATGATTCATTCTCATCATTGATGTTTCTATCTCTCTTTCTCCCCCTCTCCCTTCTTCTCTGAAATCAATAAAAAAAAAATTTTTAATGCATTTTTAATGACATCTTGATATTGGTTTCGTTATAACATTAAGAACTTAGCCTAAACTGGTTTGACTCAGTGGATAGAGCGTTGGTCTCGGACTAAGGGGTCCCAGGTTCAATTCCAGTCAAGGGCATGCACATTGGTTGCAGGTGCATCCCTGGTAGGGGGTGTGCAGGAGGCAGCTGGTCCATGTTTCTCTCTCATCGATGTTTCTAACTCTCTACCCCTCTCCCTTCCTCTGAAAAAAATCAATAAAATATATAATTTTAAAAAAAAACTTAAAATACTATGGAATAACTGTCTCTGTTGACTATACATGCTAAAAGAGAGAAAGAAAATCCTACATGTCTATCAGTAGGAGCTGGTTATGAAAATGATGGCAAATCAACTCATGGTCTAATATGCAGCTGATATAAAGGATAAGAAAGCTGTGTGTTACTCTATTTGAATTATAGCATATTTACATATTATACTTTAAAAACTTTTAACTAAAAAAAAGCATAAAAAAGAAGAGAAACATTTTAAAAGTAAACACTAATTCAACTGTAAATATTATGGTATTAAGTGAACATATCTCTATGTCATCTCAATTTGGAGTAGCTATAAATCAACCTGAACAGGGGCTTGGCACATACTGAAAAGGTCAGTAATAAAATGTAGCTCCTCTAGCTGGGACCGGTTTGGCCCAATGGATAGAGCGTCGGCTTGGGGACTGAAAGGTCCCAGGTTCGATTCCGGTCAAGGGCATGTACCTTGGTTACAGGCACATCCCCAGTAGGGGGTGTGGAAGAGGCAGCTGATCGATGACTCTCTCTCATCGATGTTTCTGACTCTCTATCTCTCTCCCTTCCTCTCTGTACAAAATCAATAAAATATATATTTTTTTAAAAATGTAGCTCCTCTAACCCCCAAATTATTTTTGCCATTACATGACTCTTGCTTTATTACAGCAACATGCAATAATTTTGTGATAGCTCAAAGAAGAGATATTACCATTTAAAGCTGTTTCATATTTGTTAATTATACCTTAATAAATCTAGAAAAATAAATATATAAAATTGCTTCATATACTTCCTGGTGAGATTAGACAAAAAGAATACAATAATAAAACAAATAAATATATTGGAGGTTATAACAAAGGCTGAATGAATCTGAATATTATGGATATCTACACAACCAATTCCAACTGCAAATGTATTTGTGGTATTCCATATTCACAGCCTGAATTAATCCAAAATTCTTTTCACCTCAAATTCTAAAATTTTTCCTAGTCTGTCAGCCTCTAACACTGTGCTTTTCTTTTTCTTCTTATGATCTCATTTAAAAATAAAATTAAAAATTCTACAATATGGCCGAAACCGGTTTGGCTCAGTGATAGAGCGTCGGTCTGCGGACTGAAAGGTCCCAGGTTCGATTTCGGTTAAGGGCATGTACATCGGTTGCAGGTACATCCCCAGTAGGGGGTGTGCAAGAGGCAGCTGATCAATGTTTCTCTCTCATCAACATTTCTAGCTCTCTCTCTCCCCCTTCCTCTCTGTAAGAAATCAATAAAATATATATTTTTTAAAAAACACAAAAAAAAAACCTCTACAATATAATCTATTATTATCCCAAAAGATACTGAATTTCCATTGCACATTAAATATTCCAAAAAATAATAATAGAAATGTCTAGGTCAACACACTATGAAATAGGTACTAAGATATTATCAAAATATCCCAATGGCTCTGGCCAGTTTAGCTCAGTGGATGGAGCATCGGCCTATGGAATAAAGGGTCCTGGGTTCAATTCCAGTCAAGGTCACAGGCCAGAGGGGTTCGATCCCCAGGGGGCATGTGGGAAGCAGCCAATCAATGATTCTCTCTCATCGTTGGTGTTTCTATCTTTCCCTCTCCCTTCCTCTCTGAAATAAATTTTTAAAATAATAATAATAAATAAAAGATTTACTCTCTCAAAAAAAATCCCAATGAAAAACAGCTGATTAGTAATATTTCAATTTAGAAAAATTAAATTATTCCCAACTTTAATCACGTTTCATTTACAACTTTCACAGTGCTTTTGTTGTATAGTATGCAATCTTATCTCTTCTCTATATAATCACATTAAGACATTTACAATAATTTTTAAACCAGAGCAGAAAGAAGTTCAATTTTACAATATTATCAATCCTCAGATTAAAACAATTTAAGTAATACTGTAGCCCACACTTTGGTAAAAATTAAATCAGTTGCTCTGACCTCATTTTTCCTTTTGAAGTAATATCCACTCGAATGGGATCAAACCTGTAAGCAGGAGATATAACTTCCACTACATAAGATCCAGAGGGTATATCATGAACCACAAAACTCCCATCTGTCCTGGAAAAATGAAAATCATATTTAGTCACTTCTGATCAATAGCTTACTCTTTTCTAATGTTTTAGATCATCTTGTTAACCCACAAACCAAGTTCCACAAGAATGACATTCAGAGCAATTAGAAAAAAATACTCCCAAATTAGCAAGAGTTTTCCCATGCTTCAGCTTCCATAATTACACTGAATGGGTTCTGAAAATACCCCAGGCACCCCACAGTAGCAGAGAACCCTGACATAGAAAGTGCGTCGGCTTGGGGACTGAAGGGTCCCGGGTTCGATTCCGGTCAAGGGCATGTACCTTGGTTGCGGGCATATCCCCGGTGGGCAAGAGGCAGCTGATCAATGACTCTCATTGATGTTTCTAACTCTCTATCTCTTTCTCCCTTCCTCTCTGTACAAAATCAATAAAATATATTGAAAAAAAAAAGAAAAAGAAAGAAAGTACTTCTATTCCCTCTGAGGACAGAGATAACAGGCACAGAAGCACAGTTCCTGTTCTGAAGCCATGTATTCATTCAAGGGAAACAATCAATATGCATTACTAGAGGCCGGTGCACCAGCGGGGTCCCTCGGTGTGGCCTGCAGGGATGGAGCAGAAACTGGCAGTCCAACATACCCCCAAGGAACGTAGTAGTGCGTGAAGCGGCAGGCACACTGCCACTCATCCTGGCCCTGCTGTGCCTGCTGCCGCTGCCGTCGCCATCGCCCACTAGGTTCGCTGCCACTCCACTGCAGACTCCGAGCGCCCACCCTAGGGCAATACCGAGCACCCATGACCGAGAAGCAGCTGCGGAATTGTGCCCAATCAATCCCGATGCTGGTCCGATTCCAGCAGTCTGAATGGGGTCAGGGCAGGGGGAGTGTCCATGGGAGAGGCTTGCGCTGCCCCAGCTGCACTAGCCAGCCACTGACCTGATCACCTTCAACTGCCCCCCCTGCCAGCCTCATTGCCCCCAAATGCCCCCCACAGGCCTGCTTGCCCCCAACTTCCCCCTTCTCCCATCTGCCCACTCCCTGCCGGCCTGCTCACCCCCAACTGCCCCACCAACTGCCTCCCCACCAACCTGATTGCCCCCAACTGCCCCCCTGCCAGCCTGATTGTTCCCAACTGCCCCCCAACAGGCCTGCTTGCCCCCAGTAACTACCCCTCGCCAGTCTGCTCACCCACAACTGCCCCCCACCACCATCTGCTCACCCCCAACTGCCCTGTGCCCTGTCAGCCTGATCGCCCCTACCGCCTCTGCCTTAGCCCGCCACCATGACTATCCAGAAGGACATGCAGTCTCCCGGAAGGTCTCTTGGTCTAATTAGCGTATTACCCTTTTATTAGTATAGATTTATTTTGTTAATCCTCACTTTAGAATTATTTTTCCATTGATTTTTTTAGAGAGCGTGGAAGGGAGGGAGAGAAAAAGAAGACAGGAAGGGAGAGAGGGAGAGAGGAAAAGGGTAGGATGAAGAAAGACATACATAGATGTGAAAGAGACACATTGACTGGTTGCCTCCTACACTCACCCCAACCAGGACCTGGTATTGAACCTGCAACCCAGGTACATGCCCTTGATCTTGAATCGAACCTAAGACCTTCCGGTGCACAGGCCAATGCTCTAATCACTTAGCAACACTGGCCAGGGCCATAAAAACATTTTTAAGATAAGTAGGAAAACATAAAAATTGACTGGGTATTAGTAGAAGAAGTTATGGTATTAATAATTTTGTTGAATCAATAATGGTGTTATTTTTTAAGACTATCTTCTAGAGATACAAAATAATGTTTTTATAAGTGAAATCATATCATCTTTAGGATCATATTTAAATAGCCTAGAAAAAAACAAATGACGTATAGAGGACACATTAAACAAACAGTAGATTGTGATAGGTACCTAAGGATTTACTAAGCCATTCTGTTTATTTTAGTTCATGTCTATAAAGGAAAGTATAGTACATTATCTTCCTGACAAAAATTGAAAACTGTCGCCTTAGCTGGTTTGGTTTATATACATAGTAATAAAAGCAAGAAGTGGCATGGGGAGTCCTCAGGCCAAACTCCTTTCATCTCTACTAACAAAGTCCCAAATAACCTCCAATAAGCATAAATAGAAATCAAAACTGCATGCTGGTTATGCATAACAGGTACAAGACAAATTACCTATCTCTTTTTCAGGAAGTTTGCCTGGACAAACTCCTTATATTAATTCTTAATGAAACTTTCTACACACAAATGTAAAAACATAAAATGGTATCAGGAGCTGCTCACAAAATAGTAAGCAAAAAAAAGCAGGTTACAAAGTGTATATGTTGTATTTTACTATTAAAAATATAGAAATATGACTTCAAAAAGGCTGGAAAAGACACAATGAAATATTAAGGTTTGTTATCTCTACTTTATTATTTATACTTTCTTCAATACATGTTACTTAGATGTTATTTTTAAATGGAAATAATAAATGCTTTGAAAAATAATTGTATACTGCAGCAGAAACAGGCCAAATGGCCAAGTAAGGCTAATTTGCCAAAGCTTAATGAAAACTTTATCATAAAAACATTATTTAGGGCAAACCTAAAGAAAAACCTAATGTCAGATCTTTAATGACAAATAGCATTAAAATAATGGTTGTAAGCTTCTTGTCATTATTTATTAATCTAAGGTTGAAATTCTCATTCAAATACATCTGAATGATCTGAATATTTGCAAATCAAATTTAGAATTCAATGTCCACATTGGTTTGGTTTTCAGATACTGCGTGGTGGTGTACAAACCCACCAGATAAACACTTCCTCTCCTAGATATTTTCTTTTTTTTAAATTTTATTTTATTGATTTTTTTGTACAGAGAGGGAGAGAGATAGTTAGAAACATCGATGAGAGAGTCATCGATCAGCTGCCTCTTGCACACCCCCCACTGGGGATATGCCCGCAACCAAGGTACATGCCCTTGACCGGAATTGAACCCGGGACCCTTCAGTCCCCAAGCCGACGCTCTATCCATTGAGCCAAACCGGTCCCGTCCCTCTCCTAGATATTTTCTTTCAGTTCGCGGTTTCCCTTTCCAAGCAGCAATTAAAAGAATTTAAAACACATTTGTTGTCTAGACATCCGAAAAGCGGGCTGCCTCAACACGAGAGCGCTAGTAAATTCAACACGTCTTTTAAGATAGGTTGAAATCTCATTTCTGCTAACGGCTAGAGAGGACAGAAGCATGTAAGCAACACAGAGAAACCCTAGTCTTACATAAACGCCGAGTGTGAGGTTGCCAATCCCACGATGAATTCAAGGGTGAAAAAAAGAACAACCGCCCCACCTCCAGGCGAAAAGGGTGCTTTGATTAGGGACTTCGGGGCCTATTAACTTTAGAAGCAGCATCAGCCTCCCAATCGATGTCATCACTAGAAGCCCGTTGGGCTTTCATAATTCCCTCTTGCTTAGCATCTTTCTACACAACATCAAGCTGAGAGAGAGAGAGGAGAGAATGCAAAAAAAGGCCAGATTCCAGGGAAGCCAGATGAGACTCAAAGGAAAGAATTCAGCAAGCGGCACCTAATGGTCCCTCTGTCCGCAGAGCTCAGGAGTGCTGGTCCCCAGACAGGGCCCAATGGAGTGAATGCAGCCGCCCCGGCTCCGGCCCCGGCCCAGCACCGGCCGGCGCGTTTCGGAGCCGCGGGCCCGGGAGGGGCAGCGTCTGCCCTCCTAGCAAGGTCTCCCGGCCCCTCCACCCGCCGACAGCAACGCCGCCACGTCTTGACACTTAGCTCTCCTGGGGGGGTGTCCCCCTCCGGCTTCCATCCCACGCCCTCGGGACGCTCACTTCAGGAAGCCGACGTGCTCCTCTCCGTCCACCAGCACTCGGGCCGCCGAGATCCAGTCCTGAGGCTTCACTCCGGGGACCACCGCGCGCCCCTCGATCTTGAAGCGATCTCCTAGGCCGGCCCCAGCCCCTGCCGGCCCCTCGGTGGCAGCGCCGGGCGCCTCCGAGCCGCGGGCTCTCCCTGCCAGCTGCAGCAGCAGCAGGGCGCAGAGCAAGACCCACCGGGTGGCCGCCATGACAGCAGCTCTCCGCGGTCCGACCCGCGGCCCCGGAAGCCCTCCCCCGTCTCCCAGGCACCGCGCCGCCGGCTGCGTCATCACAGCGCGCCCGGCCTCAGCGCGAGAAGCGGGCTCAAAACCGGAAGCTTTGGCCAATCGACTAGCGAAGCGGAGACGAGGCGGACGCACCCCGCGCTCCTGATTGGCCCGCGGGCTGAGGAGCTTGTCAAGGGAAAGGACCGCCCCCTCAAGGGCGGTGGTGCAAAGCGTGTTGCTGTGGCAACCGCCGAGGTTTGGGACCACTCGGGAGTGATAGAGGGTAAGACAGGGAGGGCCGAGGGGCTGAAGGAGTGTCTGCAAATGAGGCGGAGGCTTCGGAAAACATAGATCCAGAAAAAAAACAACACTCGTTTAAAACAATTTCTAGAGATTCCCCAAGACGTATGAGATGAAAAGGCCCCCGTTTGTGTGCTCAAGAGAGATAATGTCTCTACAGAGAAAACATCTGGGAAAATGCGTAAATTTATTTACTAAGGGTTGCCTCTGGTGAAAAGGGAAAGAGTTGGGGAACATTTATCTGACACTACACCCTTCGTCCTCGAGTGCTTTTTGGTGAGCATCACAAGGTTATGGGGAGGGGGGTAAACCTGCCAATGTTGATCTTGGGGCTAAGCCGGAGATTTCAGAGATCAGCAAGCCTTTCGTTTTCTTTTCCTTGTTATTGAATTTATTGGGGTGATACTGGTTTACAGAAGTAAACAGTTTCCAGATGCACAATTCCACAACACGTCATCTGTCTGTACACCACCCCAAGTCCAGTCTCCATCACCACTTTGCCCTGTTCCCAAGGCACAGGAATGGTGGTCCCCAGGCGGGGTCAAAGGGAGATGAATATAACCGGCTCCCTGGCTATATTGGCCCGGAAGGTGTGTGTGTGTGGTGGCGGGGAGGGGGGGGGGGGGTTGGTAGGGAAGGTCCTCTATTCTCCTGAACATCAGCAACTGCCTCCTAGGAGAACATTCCCTAAGTCTTTTGAAGATAGCCATTTTTTCACATTTGGTCTTTGGAAGGAGCAAGTCTGCTATAAAAATACTATCATGTGCTATAACCCTTCCCACTAGCAGCAATCTATGCTAAAGTATGAAATAACATTTCACTTTTCTAAAATGATACATTTATAACTAAGCTGAGATACAAATAACTTCCTCCCCAAATGTTCTGATTTTCTTTCACATATTTTTGGTGACCCTGCTTTGCTGGTATCTTAAGCACCCATTTAGTCTGACTAATAATCAATGCTGGCCTCAATACCCCAAGTAGGATCTGAGAAGTTTACTTTCCAAGTTTGGCAAGGGTGGATGAAGACCAGCAGCAAACAGCAACTGAGCTCTTTATGTCCCCATTTCTGCCTTTCTCTTTTCCCCCGTACCTTATTCTCACTCTTATACCAGAGTATCCAAGGTTTTGAACCCCTAAAACTTATACCTCCACAGTCATTAGATGGAGGAGAGAAGCCTAAGCAATGTTTTCAGGTAGCGTGAAGTTTTATCTGTTTTCTTCCCACAGGAATTGCATAGGTATTCAGTGAAAAATTATACAATAATTATTCCAGAATGCAGTCCTTGGACTCGTACCTTATAAAAGAAACTATAATTGTAAAGAACTATGTTAGAAAGATTTTGTACTGGACTTGCTCTGTTTGCCCAGCCAGATCCATTTTCTAACCTTTACTGCTTTGTGCCTTGGAAGGGGGATTGTGAAGGATTGCAAAAACTTGGTTCAACCAACAGGTCACTGGTTCGATTCCTGGTCAGGGCACATGCCTATGTTTCCGACTCCATCTCCAATAGGGGGCATGCAGAAGGCAGCCATTCTATGGTTCTCTCTCATCATTGATGTTTCCATCTCTCCCTCTCCCTTCCTCTCTTTGAAATAAATAAAAACATAATTTAAATTAAAAAATGATTGGTTTCCTTTGTCCTCTGGGTGTTTCCAGTTGGGTTTAGCCATGGGAGGTATTAGTAAGACATCCTTTTCTGTTTCCCTTACCACTGCCCATACTTCTAAGAAAGTTTAATGAAAAGATAATTTACAATCACCCCTTCAAGTCTCCCATGTATTTCCCGGCAAGACCCTGACCCATATAGGTTTCAAGGAGATCCATGTATCTTAATTATGGAAAATAACGTGAAAGTGAGAGGTATCCTGTTTATTACCCAGGCCCTTTGCTTTTCTCTCTTTTTTTTTTTTTTTTTTTTTTTTTTTTTTTTGCTGCCTGGCTCTTGGCTTCTTCGTATCATGGCCACAAGGGGGCAAACAAGGATAGGAACAGAGACACTCAAAACACACCACAGAATTTTTATAAATGTTGGGTTATACCAACAGAGGTTCACTCTGGGTTTTACAGTTGATATTTTATTTTTTCTCGTTTTTTTGATTTTGCGATTTTTTAAATATATTTTATTGATTTTTCACAGAGAGGAAGAGGGAGGGATAGAGAGCTAGAATCATCGATGAGAGAGAATCATCGATCAGCTGCCTCTTGCACACCCCCCACCGGGGATGTGCCCGCAATCAAGGTACATGCCCTTGACCGGAATCGAACCTGGGACCTTTCAGTCCGCAGGCCGACGCTCTATCCACTGAGCCAAACCGGTCCCGGTGATTTTGAGATTTTTAAAAATAAATACAAATTATACAGATAAAGCTATTTTAAAAAATAAAGGGAGAAGCTAACTCTGTGTGTGTGTGTGTGTGTGTGTGTGTGTGTGTGTGTGTTTGTGTATCCTATGTAATAAAAGCATAATATGCAAATCTACATGCCCAAACAGCAGGATGACCATCCGGACAACCATTTGGGACCATGCTATGACATCCAATGGCACCAGGCCAGCCAAGACAGGTGAGATGTGTGATTGGTCAGGGGACCGGCCATCGCCCCATGTTCAACAGAGGGAGGCCCAGTTCACCGACCAGTGAAAGGAAGCCCTACTCTTACCCCAATCGCTCATCAGCCTGTCCTGCGCCCTCTCACAATCCAGGACTCCTCAGGGGATGTTGGAGAGCCAGTTTCAGCCCAAACCTGCAGGCCAGGCTGAGGGACCCCTGGTGCATGAATTCATACACCAGGCCTCAGTAGTGAATAAGAAACCAATGTGTTAGAATGAAGGAGTCATGTGACACTAAGTACCCTGTGTGCTTTGGGCTCCTCTGGCCTGATGGACCCAGCTTCTCCAGGACCTATAGTGAGAGCACAGGAATGTTCAATGCACCACAGGAACTGAGGCTCAAGGATTGGCTCTAAGACCAGTCACAGGATCTGAGAAGTGCAATAGTAGTTGAACTCCAGCTTCACACAAAGCATCCCTAACCCTCTTTGCACTCTCCCTGGGTCAATTGCCTCACATGCCAGCCTTTATAAAACATTAACACTCTTTACGTCTGTGCGTAAGTCTAAAAGCAGCGTCTTCTTTATGCCTTGATTTGAGTCTTACTGTCCTTTTATAAAAACTGTGGTAAAAGACACATAAAACTTCCCTTCTAACCATTTTTCGATGTATGGTTAAGTATATGGACATTGTTGTGCAACTGCTCACCTGCCTGCCTGCCTAATTGCCCTTACCACTTCTGCCTGACAGCCTGATTGACACCTAACTGCTCCCCTGCCAACATAATTGCTGCTAACTGCCCTCCCTTGCTGGCCTGGTTGCCCCTAACTGCCCTCCCCTGCAGGCCTGGTACCCCCCACCTGCCCTTCTCTGCCAGCCCAGTCACTCCTAACTGATCTCCCTTGCAGACTTGATCGCCCACAACTGTCCTCCCTTGCTGGCCATCTTGTGGCGGCCATCTTTGACCACATGGGGGTGGCCATCTTGTGTGTTGGAGTGATGGTCAATTTGCATGTTGCCTCTTTATTACATTTGTTAGAAGATTCCTCTGCTTCTTATGGGATCTGAACTCATTTTTTTA